CACAGCCCAGCACAACGAGTCATCTTGCTTCTTCGCGGCGCAAAAACCGTCAATGACCTGCCGCCAATTTCTGCTGAATCAGCACTTTTCCACTCGCCGCTTGACGACAACCAGCAACAACAGCAGCAGCAGACGATGGCGCTTGGTGTGGCACAGCCTGCGGCGACGGGGCCCAGTGCCGCTGCATCCACGCGACGATCAACAACAACGACAAGAACAGCAACGACGGCTCGCTTGCAGCATCAACACGCACAACCAGACACGGGCGTGCAAACTCCAGGTGGGTTGGTTTGTTGATGTGACAGTTTGTGCTTGTGTGTGCGTGTGTGTTTGTGTGTGCGTGTGTGCGTGTGTGCGTGTGTGTTTGTGTTGATGTGACAGCTGTGAGGGTGTGCGTGTATGCTTGTGTGTTTGTGTGTGTGCGTGTGTGCGTGTGTGCGTGTGTGTTTGTGTGTGCGTGTGTGCGTGTGCGTGTAAATGTGGGTCAATGCGTGTGTGTTATTGCTTGGAACTGCGACTGCTAAGCACGCATTCGCACGTTCACGTGCATACCCGTCCAACCACCTGTTCACCTCATTTATTCACCAACACCCACACCCCACCCCACAGATGAGGTGGCGTTTGTGACGTGGGTGCCGGGTGAGGAGTATGTCAAGGCGCTGGTGGTGAAGAACGTGCGCTACAAGGCCATCAAGGTGTCGTGCGAGAAGCGCGGGAGCCACTTCTCCCTCCGCAAGAAAATCAAGAACGTCATGGTGAGCCCAGGCACCACGTTGCACATCCCCATCGTGTTCACCCCAACAGAGGCCGTCGATTACTCCGACAGCATCACTGTCGCCGTGGACGATGGCAGCGCCGTGCACGTGCGGCTGCGGGCGGATGCACCGCGCCCAGAGCTCAAGATGCCGGGCATTGTCGACCTCGATCTCCTCGCCGTCGGCAGCACCACATCCAAGGTCGTGCCCATGCAGAACACCAGCAAGTTCACCATCACATGGAAGCTGGGCCAGCCAGAGGATTTCAGCATTGCCCCCACCTTCGGCGTGCTCGCGCCCGGCGAGACGCAGGCGCTCACCGTCACCTTCAGCCCCACGCGCGCCGACCGGTACGAGGTGGCTGCGCCCATCAAGTACGACGCCGATGACGGCGAGCACTGTGGCCAGACGGAGCTGTGGCTGCGCGGCGTGTCCAAGTATCCGCACGTGGTGCTGGCCAACGGGGCGCGCGAGGAGCTGGTCGACTTTGGCGAGGTGCACGCAGGCGGCGTGGTGGAGCGCAGCGTGACGCTGTACAACCACTCGCCGGTCGATGCCCCGTATGTGATGCGGCACTCCTTCCTTGGCACATCGTGCCTGACGCTGTACGGCAACACGGGCACGGTCCCCGCCAACAGCACCACCACCATCAACATCACCTACACCGCCGGTCGCCTCTACCACCACTGCAACGAGTATCTCACCTTCAAGTTCCACGCGGGCACGCAGCTGCGCATCGCCTGCAAGGGCGACACCATCTCTCCGTCTGTCCTCTGCAGCCACAGCAGGGTGGACTGTGGTCTTGTTCCTGTCGGCGACACGCACACGCAGTCAATCACCCTGCGAAACATTGCCGACATGCCCGTGCGTGTGTCGTGGATCTCAGCACATGCCGCAGCCGTCGTTGTGCGCGGGAAACAGCACAGCACTGACGGTGATGGTAGTGGTGACCGTGATGGTGGCGATGCGTATATGTGCACGATGCCCGAGCTGAGCACACTTGAACTTGAGGTTGTCTTCACGCCAAGTGCCGACGTGCACTACTGCCAGCGTGTGGAGATTGCCATTGAGAACCACAAGCCCGTGGTCTTGGAGGTGGTTGGTCGTGGCACGCGTGGTGATGGTCGTCATGCCGTGATGGGCATGGAGGCAGACGCTGCCATGCGCCAGCGGGAGCGGGGTGGATATGCACACCTCGCACCATCGCAGGTCGCATCATACGTACAGTCCGGTCTGCTCGCCCTCAAGGTAACGTCACACGTGCTCTGCTTGTGTTTGTGTGTGTGTGTGTGTGTGTGTGTGTGTGTGTGTGCGTGCGTGTGCGTGCGCGTGTGTGCGTGCGTGTGTGTGCATGTGTGTGCGTGCGTGTGCGTGCATGTGTGTGCATATGGCGTGTGTATGTGTGTGTGTGTGTGCATTCGTTGCACGCACGTGTGCTTGGTGGCATGTCACCATGTCTCATCATCCCACCTTTCCCCTTCCATTGCTCCCTCGTCCCATTATTCCTTGCTGAACTGTCCCCCTGGTCAACTGTCCCCGTTTGCAGGACGACAAGTTTGTGCCGGTGGAGAAGGAGCCCGTTGAGCCAACACCGGACCCAACACCCGTTAGTGCCATTGGCTCATGTGTGCACATGCGCGCAATACTCAGGGCTGGCAAGTTGTGAGCTCACCCCTTTTCATTTTGTCTCACCCACCCACCCACCCACACACACACACACACACACACACACACACACACACACT